CTTCATAACCAGGCGACTGCTGCTAGACTGGGAATTTACTGCTGTGAGCAACTATAAACATTGTGCTAATGGTAGCACTGCCTAAGAATAGCCATTTGAGAGTTCAGTGTGTGCGGTTTGAGACCAGAGACAATATTTTCTACTCTCTACACATCACAGGGTATACACTATAGTCTGATATAGGGTAAAGGTAATTTAATAATTATTATTAAAAGCAATCAACTCCACAGATCAACAGCTCTTTTAAAACATGTTTTCTAATCTAATCTCTGTTTCCTCTCAGATGTATGGTTATTGTCCACCTGGAAAGGCCCCAGAGTGATAACTAGAAATCTGCCACCACCACCCCTTCTGCTGTTCCTGCCATCATATTTAATTGTGTTTGCTCAACTCAAAGCCAAACTCGTATGCAGTATATTTAGATAGTTAAAATAGCATAGCACTCTACTATATTCACTGATTGTTTTCAACACCACAATTCTTGGGAATTAGTTTGGAATAAATAAGGTAAAGAGAATGGAGCAACATAAATTTGTTCCAGTGACAAAGAAAACAATATCAAAATGGCAATCTGGAGATGCGCCATGAATGAAGGAATAGAGTGTTCCTTTCGGTACACTCTCCTGCATATGCAATCCCTGTCTCATTCGATAGTCTGGATTTATTTTAAAGTAGGTGAGAACAAAAGCAAGAAACTAATAGAAACTGTGAAAAGTACCTTTATTATTTCAAAAGATAATGTACAATCACTGTACTTATTCTTAAATGGCATTAAAGGTAAAGGTGTAGAACTTATATATGTTGATTTTCTGAACCCCTAAGGAGTCTTCATTTTCCACAATGGCAAACTTCCTAAGTAGAAGTACATATATCACTAATATATATTCAGGATCTCTTTTCTGAGGTTTCAAATACTATATATTTTTTCAAATGCCTCAAAAAATCACTCAGTTTACAAAGGCTTGGTTAGATACTTTTGTCAGCTAACCTCACCTTAAAGTTTTCCAACTTGCATTTCTAGTATTATTTAACAAATACAAACCCTATCACTCAAATGTCAAAAGACGTATGAATCATGGAGTAAAGAACAGATTTGTTGCTAAAGAGGTTATGGCTTGAATCGGATCAATTAATTAAAAATGAGACCAGCTTTCTGTTCTTTTAATCTGAGCCAAATTTCTCATCATCATCATCACAGGCATTTTAAACATACCGAGTTTACTTAACCTGATTTTTATCTTAATTTGGAAAGTGAAGAGAATGAATATGTACATGGGTGAACTTTTTACTTGATATTTTCCAGAGCATACTTCTTGTACCTATGTGACTACTAATCAAACATCACCTTTAGAGAGTGCCTGCTCTGTGCTAATCTGTCAGGAGCTGACTTATTCTCTGCATTCGTACTTCTCATTTGTTCATTACTGAATTCAATAAATATTACTTAGAGCCTACTATGTGCCTGCCCAAGGGCTGTTCTAGGTACTGAAGACATAGTTGGAATAAGGCAGGCTAGGTGCTATTCTCAAGGAGTTTATATTCTACCCTTGGGGATAAGATTAACAGACAATAAACAAGCAGAAACTAAGATTTCAGATAGTCAAATTCAATTAGGAAAACAAAATACTGTATAAGGCTAAGGTGACCTGGAGGGTCACTTTAGATGGGTGATAAGGAAAGGCCTCTCTCAGTCGGTAACATTTGCCCCAAATGGACAAGATGGTGTCAGCCATGTAAAAATCAAGTACCAAGACCCTAAAGTGGGAAAGAGCTTAGAGAATTCAAAGAACATGAAGAAAGCAATCAACTTAGAGCATTGTGACTTGGAAGGAGGTGTTCTGAATAGATGCCAGAGAGTGAACAGGGGCACATCCCTGCCAAGGACTCAAGCAGCCACTTTAACATTTGTTCTACCTTTGGAGTCAGCACAGAACCAGCTTGTGGAACAAAGGCCAGGACTGCCTCAGATACAGATGCTGTTGGCACCACAGATCTCCTCTTTCATGTGTCTGAACTGTCCCTCAAGTCCTCATCTCTTGAGTCTTTATCTCCTGAGGGGATCAATTGACCTTTTGACCCTCCTCCTTGCTCATTTTCTGTTTGTCTCCCAGACCTTTGGGCCCGCTGCCTAGTCTCTGATCCGCTACTTGCTCTCACCCTCACTATTGGTTTAGGCCTGGGGTCCGCATAACCTTGGGGGTTTAAGTGTTCCATCTTGCAACTCCAACCCCCTACTAATCCTAATGAATTTTACTGTTTCCTTACCAGACCAGATACTAACTGAGGCTATGTTACTACTTTTCTGAATATGTATTATATTTTCAACTTTCAAAAACACTTCCATATACTTTAACACTTGATTATGTCAACAATCTCCATGAAGTAGCTATATAATTATTTCATTTTAAAGATAAGGAAATCTAAAGTCAAGGTAAGCTATTAAGAAGCCAGGAATCCTGCTTTCTCATTTCTGTCTTGTTTTGGGGTGAGGGAGGTCTAGTTAACTCTAGGCATCTTGAGAGAGAAAGTTCACAGATATTCTCATTATGTGGAAGATGAAGACCAGGCATAAAGAAATTTAAGAGGTGCATAAAAAGGATTCCCTTCTCCTGAACTTTGAATTCACTTTTCTTTGTAACATTATGTCCCAAGACATTTGCAGCCCTGTACATATACAAGATCATAGTGTAGATATAGTAAAACCATATTACCAAAAAGAGAGCAAAAAAGAAAAAAAGTGACTTGTTTAATTGGTGATTGTGGGGGAAAGAACTGACAATATTCAGCTGAGCTGCTCTGGGTTCTCTTTTGGCTTTGCCTAACCCCCAAAATCATGGTTGTAGGTAAGAAATTTTATTTTGTAGATGCTGGATGGCATATAAAACTCTCATTCTAAAAGCTCACTTTTTGCAGTGTTATTTTCAAATATGTCTCTTTCATATAACCATGCTGTCAAAAATTCAATGCACTATTTTTTTAAAAAAATCAGCATTTTCAGATAGTCTAAACAAGAGAGTGTCTTAGAGAAAATAACAGAAACAATTTCTTTACCTGTTTAATATTAGTCAAAACTCATAATTAACATTTTAAAAATAAATGGTAAAGTGATAGAAGAGATGAAAAACTCTTAGGTGTGTTTCATCCTTCTAAGGTAGATCAATTAGGTTCATTGTAGCTTCCGGTGTGTGGTAGTTTGAATTAGAATACTTTTCATACCATTCTTTAAAAATCTAAGGTTCTTATTAAGATGAGATTCTAACTGTTTCTATTAAAAATTCACGACCCTTTTCCAAGAGAACTTTTTTGACCTGTTATTTACGGTTAAATTTGTGGGACTTCTTTTCTTCCACTCGCTCCTGCACTTGTCTCAGGGAAATAGACTTTAATAGCTAGTGACCTTATTGAAGTATATCTAAAGTTGTTAAACAAAAATAACAATATGCAAGTCTGGTTAAAACACAAATTCACTTAAAAGTGAATATACTACAAAGCAAATGCAGTAAGTTTTGAAGGATGTGTTGTCCCTAGAGTACCATTCAGTGAATTTGGAAGCAGCAATTCATGGCTGAAAAAAATTTAGTAAAATATAATACAGTTAATCTACATAAACTCAAAAGTTTCCAAACAGCAGGAAAAAAAATTACTTATCTTTCCTAGTTTGTTTCCAGACACATTTACTATTGTGTAAACATCATGTAACTAGGTTCAACAGAGGACCTGACCTCTCCTCCACCAACCCCACCTCTCATCTCTCCTAACACCTTTGGGACAGGATAAGAGCACCTGTTGGGGCTTGTGCACAAATGGGGTGCATTCTGGACTACTGCCTGGAAGGTGGTAAGTGTGTGTGGGGGGGGCGGGGAGGCTCTGTCCTTGATGGGGAAGCTTCTGGATTGTTCAACCTTGTCCATGATGAGTGGGTGAGCTTAATTCAGGGGTAAAATATTAGGAATATCATTGTAACCACACATCTAAGCTATAGCTTTTATTGGCATTAAAGCTGCCTTTTTGTAGAACATCCATCTGGGAAATACTGCAATCTCTCAAGATATTTTCTTATATGCACCTAGATTTCTCAAGAACGATTTGACAGTTCTACTATATCATTGTTGTTATTTTCTTTCAGGAAAAATGATACTCTTTATGCAAAAAGATATGAAAATACATTCTACATTGCAAATATCATACAGAGATAACTCTCAACTATAAGCAAACAGATGATACTTAAACAAAAGTCTCATACATATAAATCTTATTTGAAAATGTGATATTTGATAGAGAAGTTCAGTTCTTTATATCTTATAGTTTTCAGTGAAAACTTTAAAGGTATTTTTAAAAACATGTTAATTGATCCAAAATAGAAAGGAAATATTTATACTTTTGTGCAAAATAAATTTCATGTGTAGGTTCCTAGGCTGAAATCACATTACCATTTTGTTGTGTTGTTCTGGTGTGGGGGTGTGTGTGTGTGTGAAAAATAATGTGCAATTGAGGCTATAGCAAGAGAGTGCCAAAATTACTGACTGAAAAGTGAAAAATTCAATCATGACAATTTGTTTTATATGTTTCCCCTGATTAGACTGGTTGATTTGGCGTGGCATTTTCTATGCATTCATTAAATTTCTGTAAACAAAGGTATGGTATTATAATGACATTCAAGTTAATAACTTTTGGTGTTCACAATAGTAAACTATTAAATATACAAAGTCAAAAAATATTTAAAGTTCATATTAAAATAAACTAATTTCATCTTGGAAACAAATTGTACTGCCTTTTGCAAATGTTCACTATGGAAAATAGCATTTAGAAAGTACGGTATACTCATATCATTTTAGCCATATTTTCTTAAAATGTGAAAGTAGACAGGGAGAAAATAAAAGAGATTCCCCTGCTAATAAAACATTTTCACTTTTCCCAAGAGAATGCTAGTAAAATGTATGTGTACACACACACAGACACACCCTTTTCTCCCAACCAGATCCCCAAGATCCCAAATCTTATTACCTGTTTTTGAGCAGTACACTGAAGGTCATCTTATCCAGTCCCAGATAATTTGGCAGCAAGTTTGACCAATTCCAGTTCCATTTTGTTATGGCTGACTGTTGATAAATGAGAACACACTATTGTTAGTTATTAATCAGAGTTAATATGATCAGTAAATTAAAGCTCCAGCTGTGATAGACTAACTAAGAAGGAGGGGGGTCCAGAACAAGGACTTAGACAGATAACATCAATCATGTCCACAGAAGAAGGTTTTTATTCCAATAAGACAGCAATTAATTTATAGATCCATTTGGGGATGTAGTCATTATTTATAAAAATATAAATCAATTTCTTGAGTCGTTATTCTTCCAACTGTTAATGGAATTTGCCCAACAAGTTTCTCTGAAAGGGTGACTCTTTGAAAAGCAAAGCAAAATAATTGATAACTTTTTTATATATCATATCAATTTATAGTTTGCTTTTTTTGTAGCATAGAAAAGTTTGATTAAAAAAACAAGCTTAGAAGTACTAAAACTCAAATTATAAAACATGGCTTAATTAGAGAGTGATAGTAATGGTACTTTTTTGATTTAAAAAAATGCTTTCAAGGAGAGATTATAAGGCTGTAAATGTAAATAATGTAAATGATTCTTTTTTTCTCATTTACAGATAATTTCACAACAGAGTTAAGAGAAATATTACTGTGAAAATAATCTCATAACTCAGAAGTCAATAAAATATGCCATTTATTTAAATGAAGTGAGGATAATTTAAGAGCAATGTAATATACAACACAGGAAAGCAGTCTAATAAATTCAAACTTATACATTATTTTTGGTTTTAAAGTATTATAGATGCTTATGCTCTTTAAAACTAAATAGTTTTGATAATAAGAGTCCAGGCTGATGTTTAAAATCCAACAAGAGCTATTCCCTGTCACCTGCTGATTAATCGAGCCCTACAATTCTGTCATAGAGCAGGAGAATTCTGCCCTGGGTTGTCAGCATTTGAAGGTCTTATTCTACTACAGTATTGATGAATGTAGACTAGAGCTGTAACAGGCATGGTAAAAATATTATCTGCATGCCAAATTAGGCCATTGTTTTAATTTTTATTTTCATCAGAGCTCTAGGTCAAGCAATCCTTCTCTTCTGCCCTGTTAGTTCAAATTGTCTGTCAAGAGGTTTCTGGGAAAAGCCACCAAAAGAATGAACAAAGCAAAAGCAACTGTAGATTTCAAATACTGTGGAAGAAAGATGATCTTTTTAATGTAACTACTGAAACAAGCAGCTTAAACAATGGTATAATGTGACATTAAGAAATGTGTGGTGTTTATCACATTGATTTTATTCCAAATATCCTGACTTTAAGATGATTAGCAAATTCATTTTAAATTTGGGAATGTGTCTAAGCTTATGAAAAGCAAATTTACTTCATGCCACTTAAAATCAGAGCTCAGTGCTCTACTGCAATTAGTTTTAAACTATTTTATAATTTACCTGATGCAATTCATAAAGATTGCAAGGTGTTTAGTGAGCATCTATATTGGGAGGTAAGGGGTGGCAAGGGAGGCCTTCTGTAGACATAGCCTTCTATAGATGTTCCCTCTGCCTCTGGTAAACTGACCAGGTTTAAAGCTAAGTTTTACAGACCAAACATATGAATCAGCTTGACCAATAGAAAGAAGGTAAAATAACTATTAAAAGTCAATTTGTATGGACCACATAAATAAGAACAAGGTCTTTTGCTTGCTAAAAAAAAAAAAAAAAAAAAAAAAGCTTATGAGTAAATATTCATATACAAAGTATTTTTTTTCTTATTTGTGTAAAGAAACCACACATTTAAATTAAACTTACCATTTAATTTTCACATACCTGATCTAGCATGTTTTCACGAAACACCTTATACACATGGAAAGGGTTGAAGGCAGAAGGCTGATTTTCCACACTCCTCAAGGTTGTCTTTAAAGGTCGGATAGGTAATGGCTTTTTCTCAGAACCATTCATAGAAAACAGCTGTTCTTTTAAATATTCCTTCAAGGAAAAAAATTACAAATCTTCTTGGTGAGAAGCATACACTCCCTTTAAAAATAAACTGATCAATATCCAAGTTTATCCTTTCAGCACATTTGCTAGATTACAGTATATTACTTGTCTCAGAAAGAATACATTTTCAGAAGATACATAGCAGAGTACCAATCAGCATTGCAATAAACCCATCAAAAATAGGTTTACCTAATATATAATACAAACTAGAAAGCCATTTAACAAACTCATATAATGAATGTACGCTTGATATATCAGAATCTTTTGAGCAGGCATTGTCTTGTCATTGGTTCATCATGTCTGGTTACCAAAACTTAACTCAGGTGTACGATTATGCACAGTAAAAGATTGCTCATTCATTCATTAAGTGTAGTTGCTACCTACTTAGGCTCTGCAGAACACTAAGTACTCTATTTAACTGCAAGCAGTCTCTTTCCATGCAGAACTAATTATAATGCAAGCTCCTAAATTCTACTTCCATGCTGTGGACTGAAAAACAGAAGCTCAAAATATGTCATTTTAATCCCCCAACTGCCCATGCAAGCCTGGGGAAAAAAAGTCAGCCTAGTGCATTATCCATCATTTTCCATCCATAAATAAACAAGATGAACAAAGACAACAAATTAAACAAATTAAAATGACTAAAAGTTTCCCATCAACTAACAAATGCTTACTATTAATAAACAAGTCATTTAATAAATAAAAAATAAAAATGTCATCTATGTCACAATGTAACTTTTTTTCTTTGAGGTTCAGAATGTTAGAGCTGAAAAGGACTTCAGAGGTCATCTAGAAAACCCTTGCTACTCAAAGTCTGGTGCAGAGGACACCAGAATCAGCCTTACCAGGGAGCTTGTTAGAAAAGCAGAATCTTGGACCCCACTGAATCAGAATCTGCCTGTTAACAAGAATTCCCAGGAAATTGGTAGGCATATGAAAATTTCAGAAAGTCTAGCCAAACACCACACTCAGTGGTTGTCCCTGCAAGGTCAGCGGACAAGCCTGAGGTTGCATTGGGTGAGTGGTAAAGTTGGGGCAAGAAGCCAATTATCTGGTCTCAGTTCCTGGTGCTTTTTCCTCTGCCCCTATAACTGTATGAATACCCACTGTGTTCATTGTGGAAGGCAAACTTCAGATCCTAAAACCCTAAAAATCTAAGGAAACCACTACTTAAGCTAATAATATTAGTAATTTCTTAAACTTGCTCTTTGTAGAGCGTATGTCTTTAGAAAAATTAATTCTATAGTTTCTGACAGAGTGACACACACACACACATGAACTCTTAATAAATATTGTTAGATAACCCATCAGAAAAGAATTTTATACCTAAATTTAGATTATGGAACAGAAACATAATTTTTCTCCATCATGATTTCTCCATTATAATTTATGTAAATAAAATTTTAAAAAGAAAAATAATATTCTCTCTTCATTGGAAAAAATTGCTTTGTTTTGGCTAAAACAAATCTTTCTTAATCTTTTTTAACTGATTTCCTTTACATAGCTATATTTTGATTTTTGTTTATTTCCACTATTTTTTGTTTGTTTTCACATGATTTTGTTTCCACGATTCAAAAAAGAGAAAGTGCTCTGTTGCCAGTGGTGAACAAATGGCATTTTCTCCCTTGTTAATATTTGCTATATTGATATGGGCCACTACCCCTCCTTAAAAACCTAAGATTCTTTCACTGTGACATTGCTTTAATCAGATTCACCACTAATCAGGGATTTTCTTGAGAAGATTCCCCTTCTTTCTTGAACACCTTGCATTATTTCCATACTCATTTCTCCCTCTACTTCTTTCCACTTAAGAGCTCCATCATTATGATGGCTTCAACTATCAGACTCATTGAAGACCACCAAATCTACAGGCACGACCCCTCTCATCTGTGCTCATGGCCAGGACCTCAGCTACAATTGGACTTTTTTTTGTTTGGACATCTTCCCTTTAAAATGGGTTTGAAGATGAAGAAAGCAGCATCTTTAAACCCATTTTCCCTCCTAACTTCTCTTTCTCTATCAATGGCCCACCCATTCTTCTCCTTCCTTTGGCCAGCCCTAAATTACATTTTTGAGTAATATTTAGCAGCACATCTGAATAGCACATCTGAAGGTGCTTAAGACTCATAGCATTCCTTGTCAAATGAGCAAACATCATGATGCAATTTTACCTATAGCACCGCAATTCCTCACGGTATAAAAGCAGTCTGTACCAGTCTCTTAGTCACTGTTGTGTTGATTGGGTTTATTAGCTGTATTTTTATAATAGTCACAAGACAAAGGTCTGCTACTTTTTTTGCTTCTCACCTCACCTAATATTATTCATCTTACCGTGCAGCACCCTGCCTCACTCAGCACAGTAAATCACTAAACACTTAGCTCAACATCCCATCTGATAGACATTGCCATATTAGTAAATATATTCAGCTGTAACAAAAGAAAAATCATAACTTTGAGCTTAATTGATCAAAATGTGGTGGACCCCCAGTGAAGATCTCAAAGTGTAACCTGTTCAGAACCACTGCGTCAGAGTTACACGAATTTTAGAAGGGAAGAACAACAGCCTTTGGCTTTCCAGAATATACCAGATAACTGATGGCCAATAAATACCCAACTTAATTTCTGATAATTTTGCTTGTTGGTAATTACTGATCTTTTTTGTATTATGGACCTTTTAACAATAGGACTGTTCTATCAGCTTGGCAATCTATACCAGTCCTTATCATCCTCAGAGCTATGATAATGCCACTTTACTAAGGATCTAAGGATAATCATAAGGCAATATCTTTCCTCAGCATTCACAATTACTTTGGCCAATGTGGGTGTGGCCACGTGGATATACCCGTGAGGAACATGACTTCCCAGTGGAATCTTTCAGTTAGCCAAGGCCAGGAGTTCCTGAGTTTCCCAAATAGAAACTCCAGGCAAACTGTGTGGGATCATTAGCAAGAGTGAATAGGTTGTGTTACTTTGTAACAATTACATTTATATAAGTGAGATGTAAATGCTGTCATAGAATTTGATTCATTCCTTGGAAATGTAGTTTTTAAGGCCTACGTCACTTGAATAAAACACTATTCACATTATTTGTATTATACAGTTTTTACTGTTCCAAAAAACACATTCAGCTGTTTGCACAATAAACATCATTACAGGTGCCACATTCTAATTCAGATGCATATGATCAAATTAAAACCTGATGAAGTTAGTGAACTTATATTGTCTCAAGTAAATAAGCTGAGGTGACCTGCTATTTACATTTTTGCTAAAACAGCCAAAACCATACAAGGTCAGGAGCTTAATCAAGCAAAGAGATGGACAGGCTTGACGCGGGATTCTAACCAGTGTCTGTGCATTAATGAATTTTCTTGGGTTAATCTGATTCAATAGTCTTCTGAAGTTTTTTCATTATGTAAGAAATCTCCAACTTCACCAACACAAGTACGAATACCATGTATTCAGAAAAAGTACTATGCCTCTCTTCAGAAAATTCATTTCACAAATACCAGATTTTAACATCAGCTTAACGGTCACAAACATACAATTCCCAAACTACACCTCTAGTCTGTACAATTCAGATCTGAACTGAGTTTATGAGCCATGGTATTGTTTAAACCATATAAATAAAACCTACATTGTTTCGGTGAAGCTTTTTCTGTACAAATGCAGAACAGCCGGGCTTAATAGATTGTATTAATAATGCAATACTGAGTTTGGTATTGACTTTAAGAAGTATTATCACCTCCTTGACTAACCCTTAGCTGCCAGCAGACGCTGCCTCAGGCCAGTACACACCTAATTGCTCGGTAAAAAGGCCGTTTCCCTACCTCATTGAGCCGCATGATGTGATAAATTTGCCTCAGGTACTCGCAGCCACCTGGTTTGTGGCAAAGATCCAGGACCATCGTGTTTATTTTCTGCTCAGTCAGTTCAAGAGCAATATCTCCTTCTAAGGCTGTGGTTTTCTCTATTGTCATAAGTGCACTAAATACAAAGAAAGCATACATATAACAGTAGTGAAGAATTGTAAAGATGGAAAATAATCAAAAAGACTGAGTGTGGAGAGTCCATGTAAATCTCATATTCAAAGTACCTATAAAGACTTTGTTCAAATACCCTTTCAAACTGCTGCTGCTCATATAAACAGTGCCTTAGAATTAAGCACCTGAAAGCATTTCTAAAAACTGAATCGTTTCTTTTAAAACATTTCTTGATTGCATTTATACTTCTATCTATAAAACATTTTCCCATTACTGCAATTGTTGAAATTGCTATAATCATGGGATGAAAACAAAACATTTCTTTTTGAGAACATGTAAGAAATAATTTGTATTTTCTCTCTGAGGATAAAAATTATCTCTGATGCCAGAAATAGCTTTGGTATTCTGTCTTTTGTAGATTCCTCTTTACACCTGTCTTAGAGCACATTAAGGACTAATTAAAGTGTCAAAAAGGGGAACCTATTACGCTAAATACAGGCTGGGTGCTTCATGGCAGTGTGCTTACCACTGGGTATTTTAAATTGGCCTTTGACACTTGTTGCCTTTTAAAAATATATGCCCCCTCTCGTGTTTCTTTTCTGTTAACAGATACTTAGCAAAAGTCACTACACTGATTATTCTTCCAGCAAAAGGATCTACTACCACACTAGGGATGTGCAAGATGTATGTAGCTCTGAAACATTTCTTTAGAAGAATCCATACAGCTATTCTTGATTCTGAACATTATTTACCTGGAAATAATGGATGACATAAAAGTTTAAGTTTCTTAAGCATCTCAAACTATACCAGTGCAAAAAAATTATGCTATTCAACTTACATCAACTATATTCCGCACTAATTTTTCTTTTTACAATTGCTATTAGGATCATTTCAGGCTTTGCAATCTAGGTGTTCTTAAGAAAACTCAGTTTCCCACTGTTTCCCAGACTAAATGAAATGTACGTGGTGTAATCAGCTGTATACTGCAGTTCATTATGGAGATTTTGCCATGATTATAAAATTAGTTCTGCTAAGAGTCAGTGCCACTGACCTGAAGACTGAACCAAATGATACCCAGCTGGTGGACATTAACTTTGATATTGCTTCCACATGTAGCTTGAAAACATCCTTCTCAACCAAAAAAAAAAAAAAGGAACTCGGTTATACAAACCTTGTTAAAAAATAAAGCAAATCCTGCTTTAACTTAGTATTCATTAGCTAGAGTAAATTTAAAAAATTTTTAAAAAGACCTTGTTACAAAAAGAAGTTTGCAAATATCATTTTGAAGCTGCATACAGGCTGCAAGCAAAATTTCTTGTCAAGTTTTGTAGAAGCTGACATTGAAAAAGTTGAGGCCCTCTGACAAAGGAGTATCTCAGTGTCAGCCCCTGAATTGTATCCTTTCCTGTCCATCACTGTGCAGGTGAAGCAAATGATTGGATTCAGTCAATGCTATGATTAATGAGTTCCTCTCTGGATTTGGGACTGCCTATCAATCATGTCATTAGGGAGAATGTGCCCTGAAAGAGGCAGACCTTAGCCAAGGAATAACTGCATTAATCTTAATCTGTATATGCACCCAGCCAGCCAAGTCAGGGTCACCATGATGAAAAACAATAATCTTCAACTCGACAAATTACTTTGCAAAGACAGACATTTCTTTACTTTTTGGGCTGTGTGTTCTCCAGAATCTAAGTTGACTGTTTACAGCTTGAGTGTTACTACAAAGTGAAGGTTATTTTAATGAATAGTAATGCTTTCAGGCAGTATGCAAGACAGGCAACACTTAGAGCTGCCACTTTTTCCACTGCAGTTATTTTCACCATTTCCATAAAATTAAACTTGAATCTGGATGCAAGTGAAAGAAATCTAGCTAAATTATATAACATTTCAAGATAAACTTCACAAGGAATTAAGACTTAATCTATCTTAACAGAACTACTTCAGTTTAAATGCTTATATAACCATATTTTCTTTTAATTAAGGTAAAGCCAAGGCAACCCTCTGCCTCATATAGACATCATGGTTTCAGATACATTTTTTCCTCATAGTATAGATCTATGAACTAAAAGATCAATTTGTGAGAAATACTTAGAGGTGGAAGTTCACTTGTATATCAGATAATCAATATGAAATCAAAGTCCAGAAGAAATATTCCTATAGCACCCAGATTCTGTAAGAGCTTATCTAAAATGAGGTAAGTCAAATTTAACTTTTTCAAATAAATGCCATAAATAAATATGCACTTTTGTATTGATTTCATGGAGAAGTTGAGAAAGGCACAGCACTATGCTAATTACATAATTATTCAGAAACTTCGAGGGCTGTAACAACATTTTTAGATTAGCAATTCTTCATTTTCGATGTATGTTGTAAGAGAAAGCTAAGTAATTTTTTGGCTTATTGCTAATGAGCCAAATATTAGCTAGACCACTTCCTACTATAGAAGATACCAGATGTGTTGGTGCTGTTCATAAAACTTAAATTAAAATCAACTTTAAAGGAAAAAAATTAACTTATGAATTCCTGTTTTTAGCCCTAGGTATATTACTTAGACATTGCTTTAAATGGATTTTATTTAATAGAGGGGTTCCTAAATCAGCAGTGTCAAAAATTAAACTTTGTAACTATGATCAGATCTACTCTTTTTATTCTTCTCTTTTTCTCTCCCTTTTATAACCACTGCCATGGATAATGACATCTGGCCTTAATCTTTAGTCATTGGATTAATGCCTGTAAATTGGTATTGAATACAAATATAAAGATTAAGAAGGCCACTCAGTGTTACTAAGCATTTGCCTAACTGCTATGGTTATTCCTACCCATGGAACACTCCAGAAGTAAATATCTAGAAGTATGACAAGACCAGGAAAATCATGATTACCTACTTGTTCCTATTTGGATTAATATAAAGTCTTTTAGATTAACATAGACAAGTAAAGAGTATTAGTTATCATAATACTAACAAGTGAATACAATGTATTTTAATAGTTTATATATTAAAAATGCTTACTACTTCTAAGCTTGATGCTAAGAATTTTACAAATGTTATTTTTCAAAACAACTCTATCAACTTGCTATCATCACTGAAACTAAGCCTTTGAGAGATTCAGTAACTTGCACAAGATGACCCATTTACAAGGGATTTGCACTTGCCCATCTGATTCCAAAACCTGAGTAACCATATTTCAAGTGATTTTTAGTCATGTCAGCAGAAAGTTATACTAGTACCTGCTAGCAACATGATAATATTTTAAAAGAATGGGGGACTGTGGGGGGGGGTGTTTAAAAAAGGCGCTGACTTATTGATCTGGAGACCATCTGAACCAGAATTCCTTTATGAATATCATGCAATTCTGTACCTGAAGACTAATTTTAAGACAAGAGGACTCTATGTACATATTTAAATTCATCAGGGACCCTTAAAAATCTTTGCAATACCACAAATCACTTAGCTCTTGGTGACAAATCTATGAGAAGGCTGACATTTTCATACAGAAACAGCTGGGTGTGTTTATAGCCTGAGTGTGATATGCCCCAGTTGCCCTCTGGGATTCTTACATTACCAGATGAAAAATGTGTACCTTTTTGACAATCAGGTACACAGAAAGCAATAAAAAGCCTTTCATATCCATTAATTCCTTCTTAATTTAATCTCCATGCCCAATCCATTTACAAAATGCTTCAGGCTTTCACTAGATACCTGTTTGCACACCAAAAAGGAGTGAAACTAAATTCTCCTGAGTTTAACTACCATTCTTTTAATCAGAAACCTTAAGATAGACTAAACACATATAATGTTCCAGTGTATCAATGGAGTTCAAATTTTAAGACAAGGAACGTCTAACAATCCACTTAATGGGATACTTATCTTTTTCTACATTCATCAACATTCCAATGAATTTAGCAAAATGACCACTGCTGCCCATCTTACAATATTTTGTTGTTGTTTATCGGTGGTTTTATTATTGTGAAAGTATTTGGTGAAATTCAATGAAAGAAAAACATTGCTTTACCATTCAGTGCTCAGTTTCCTTGCTTTCAACAATTGGCGTTCAATCCAGTTGGGCTTTTGCTGCTCAATGCTCTGTACGACCTTGTGTGTCACTTGATTAGGGCTACTTGTCTGCTGTCCCATGATGCTTTCCAAACACACACAAATTAAACTGAGTTTCTCTTTACTCCATCTGTCAAGGGAGGCACCTGTTAAAAGTTCCACAGTGTTTCCATCCTCAAATATCTGACATATAATTACAATCAAGTTCCAGACAAGCAGGCCAGCTTTCTTCAATTCAACAAAATTTTTTGACATTTTTCTCTCCGACAGAAAAAAGAAGTATTTAATTGAGGGAGGCAAACATGCAATCACTGTAGGTAACTTGCTGATTACAATAGATACTGCTTGAGCAGCAAGTCTTGTGAAGCCTGGGGAAGAAAAGAAAGAAAAGGTATGATTAATATTAGCATTTGCATTCCATCACTGTGTGGTTTTGTGTTGTGTTGGGATGTCTAATTTTTGTGGAGAAAATTGCTGAGAAGAGCAAGTGCTTGACATATTCTGAAAGAACTCTACCGGGGTCTCCTGCAATACTGCCTTAAATTCCCCCAATTCCAAACCTGGGTTTTTTCCTCCCATAAGTGAAGATTAGAAAATGCAGATTATAATTTTTATTTTTATCTTCTCAGACTGGAGTTTTGAAGGACCTAGATGCCCTCCTAATTAACAAAGTCTGCAAAGGTGCTCCAGTTGGACCTCTTTGTGGCCTTTGATATTTCTGAGTCCCACTTTAGTCCTCCTCCTCCCTTGGAATCCATGATAGACTCATCCCAGCTCTTCTGAGGACTGTCCCCTCTCCTTTTAGTTCTCAGTCTAAATGTCACCTCCTCAGATAGCCTTAACTCACCATCCGATCTAAAGCAGTCCCTTCACACCCTTCCCATCTTAGTTCCCAGTCCCTCTCTATCACCGAACCCCATTTTGTTGCCTGTATTGCAGTACTTACCATTATCTAATAATTATCTCCTTTATCTGTCCATTAGCTGTCACTCTGCACTAGAAATAGAAGCTCCATGAGGGAATTACTGTATTCTCAGCACTTAGTACGTCATATATAATAGTTGTTCAGTAAATATTTTTTTAATAAATGAGACAATAAACTGGTTCATGTATACCTCCATGCTTCTTTGTGTCCATGCTAGTTCCACCTTCTACTAACACCTCTTAAATGTGAGTATTTGCTAAAAAATCCTTGGACTTTGGGCAGATGATTCTACATGCGCTCCCTGGATTTGTGCTATTTCTCTGAAGGACGTATCCATCCATCTCCTCTAGATCAGGGTTTCTCAACTTTGGTACTATTGCCATTTTGGGCTGGATAATTCTTTGTTGTGAGGAGCTGTCCTGTGCACCGTAGAATGTTTAGCAGCATTTTCTTTCTTTCCTTTTTTTTTTTACTCCTTGTTCTCTGGAGGGACCCGTGTTCCAGTGAAGGCAATTTGGGAGATGCTGACCTAGGTGATATTTAATGTTTAAAACCACTTTTTAAGTAGTTAAGTAAACTTTATTTACAAGTCAGTATCCTTAGCAGCATTTTTGGCCTCCACTCACTAGATGCCAGTAGCATACCCCTCAGTTGTGACAATCAAAAATGTCCCCAGGGGGCAAAATCATCCCTGGTTGAGAACCACTCTTCTAGATGATTTCAGAATCTTCACTCTTAGCCTTTCTCCAGGGTTGCAATCCTACAATTCCAGCTCCCTGTTGGGCATTCCTCTTCTCTTTATTAACTCAATATAACTAAAACTAAATGCACTGCCTTTCTTCCAAACTGAATGGGCCCTTTTTCCCTCCTTCCCTTTCTTTCTTTCCTTCCTTTTAAATGTTCCTTTTGATCCTTCATACCCAAACAGTGATCAGCACTGATAAATCTACATACCCCCTCATCTCTGACATCCAGTTTCTCCTTGCTGGGACTAGGTTTACAGCCTAGTTCAAGCCTTTCCTCATGAATTGCTCCTGGACTATTGAAGTACTCTTTTAACTTCACTCCCTGCTCCAGGCTATGTCCAGACCCTCCTCTGCACTGTAAATTCATATACGGTGAATTTTATTATCCAATTTCTCTGCTACAATTGTCTTAGCCGCTTTCCACTATTATTAGATCAGTCTCTGGAGACTTGCTGTCAGAAAAACACTCCACAGTCCAGCCTCAGCCTGTTTCTATGAACCTTCTCTCCGAGACCTTCAACAGGCTTTATCCTCTTTGCTCTTATGATTCTGAATATCTCATTACTCTCAATGGAATGCCCTCTCTCTCCATGGTCTCCCATATTCCTCAACTATTAGTTCAAAGTCCTTTCCCTTCTTATGAATTTATTTGAATATATTATCCATATGATCATTTTGGTAATTAGGTCCATAATGGGTTATGTTGTGTCATCTCTTGTATTATCATCTATTATTATTTATATTTATGTAGTCATTTATGTCTTCATGAGTTGTCATTACTGCTAGACTGAAAGCTCCTCTATGAGTGTGGGAAAAAAAATCTCTTAGGTTCTAGAGTATTTCACAAAGCCAGACACAATGTTTTAATCCACTATGTACATAATTGAATTTGAACAATGAAACTGAATGAGAAGCCAAAAACAGGTAGCTTTGAATTTTTCAGTAAAACAATCTTTACTGTTTTTACTCAACAAAAATAATAACAAAATAATGTGAAACTTTTTTCAAGGTATTTGTTACATTTAAAGAAATCACTGCTTCAAGAAAGGAAAAAGTCTCTTGGAAAACATATGTCTAATCTAGTGACTCCTCTGAAATTCATCACAATTTTTTTTTTTTTTTTTGGTCCTTTTTGAGACCGGCCGCACCGCGCTCAGCCAGTGAGCGCTGTGAGCGCACCGGTCATCCCTATATAGGATCCGAACCCGCAGCAGGAGCGCTGCTGCGCTCCCAGTGCCACACTCTCCTGAGTGCGCCCCGGTCTCAGCCCTGAAATTCATCACAATTTAAGAGTCACTTTAAAAATTAACTGGAGGACTCTTTATACATTTGTTAAAATTGGGTCCAACACATATTTGAATAATCTTATATAAGACTGTCATACTGAACAAGACAATAAATGTAAAAGCACCTAGCTCAGTACCTGGTAAAAATTAGTTCCTTGATAAATGTTTTCTTTTTATTCAAATGAATATGTTTACGTGCGGCTTAGAGTATAGATAAAGCAAATTAAGAAACTCCCTTATTACCTCTCTTCTTTGTGTTCTCAATTATTTTAATTGTCTTATTTTTCTTCATGTGTTTATGTCTCATACTCCCTATTCTACTGTCAAGTATTTGACTTAAAAGGTTGTATCTTATATTCCCTCTATCCTAAAGAGGGTTTAACCAAAGATACTGAGCAAACATTTGACAATCTGAGTAGATATCAGGTAAAGATTACCAATTCTCTTCACACCTGCACTTCTACTGATGTTTTATAAACCCTGAGGATTCCAGGTGCTCAAATCCCCAACTACTTCATTAAAGCTTAAGGCAAATTCCAATCAGGACCTTTAGGCTGATGACAAATTAATAAATCCATTCTACTAATAACAAGGGCTCTGAATCTATGATGATGTTAACAACACACTAGGGGAGGGATCTTTTAATACTGCCACACACTTGTTTTTCTTTATTTAAATAAGCTGACTCCTGGCTAAGTCACATACATGTAATATATTGTAGGAGCCATCCCAATGTTAGAGCTGATAAAGTGTGGAAAAAAAGTATGTCTTAGAATGAATGCAAAATGATATGTATACTGATGTATTTATCATTTCTTCCTTCTTACCCATGTCCTACTGTGATACCATATTTGTGGATTATAAAACATGCAAAAAGGAAATTTACAACAAATGAGGTAAAGAAAAAACAATATCTTAAAGTTAATTTTTACACTTTTATTTATTAGTGGTTCAAAATATCAATGGCAATTTGTCATGAGGATAATCTGATTTAACATGCTTTCTTATTTTTAAAATCTGGGCTTAACACTTCATGATACAAAGGTCAGGTTATAAGTTCAGTTTGTTTCAATACCAGGTTTTAATGGCTGTCATAGGTGAAAAAGCCACGAAGGATCATATATGGATCCACAAAGTGTATCATTAGCTGTGCTTACAAAGTCACAACATTAGTTTTTCAGTCTTAACCACCAAATAAGAAGAGGCTGTTGTTGAAATTTTACTAATCAATATCCATCATCCATGACATCAAGTAGTTGTTCTTGCAAACAAATTGAAACATATTTCATTTTTATATTTTTAAAAACAAAGTTCAAAAATTACTGAAACTCTTCATCTGGAATATTTTAAGTCATGTTAGAAAATTCTATTTCCAGGTTCTTAAGTGTGCAGATATGATATTTTATAGGTGATATTGGTTTTTATAAAGCTAGTATCTCTGGTTTTTATAAAATATACTATATTAATGACTTCGATAGCATATTGTGTATTTCTGTCATCAATTTCTTTCTCAACAACCTGCATGTCAACAATGGCATGGATACGTTTCCATATTGTTATGGAAGCCATGTTTCAAATGATTTTCCCACATACGTTTCCTTTCTTTTTTTGTTCAAATCTGATTGGATCATCACTGTTTTACCTTACAATATGGCTGAGAAAGAGCTCATATTAGAACAGAAATAAGTGTAAGCTTTTTCACTTTGTCATTGTTTGCAGTGCATTCCCAGGATTAGTTTCAAACTGCAATTGATTTGTTGATTTACAGGAGTATGTTAAAGTCACTCGTATATTTAGTGAGGATTAATTTTGTTAAACCTAAATTCTGTAATACAGAGGACTTTAATTCATTACTGTATGCTGAAAGCCAAATGAGTAATGTTACCCTGTCCATGGCCTCTCCCACAACATTGTGGCCCTCCTGCTCTTCCCTTGAGCTTCCTCATATATTGTCCCCAACACACAACTGGCTCACTCACAGATCAAGGAAGAGTTCCAGTGACAATCTCCCTGTGAGATTGTAGTAGAGTTTAATTTCCTTCTTTCTTCTTGTACATAAAAAAACCTGTATATCCCCTGAGATGTCTGCACCCATTTTGAAACAATTACACTCGTCTCCAAGCACCAAGAAGAGATACTGTGTTTACAGTTTATCTTGACCTTAAACACAGTGCCTGGGATGTAGTAGTCACTCGCATAGTGAATATCTATTGAATGAATAAAGGAATGAATAAATGATTTAATGTCCTGTATGAAATACTATCTGTTTTGAATACATCAGTGAAAATAAAGGATGAGAAGCCCTTATCTAAAAGTCCCCATAGCACTTCAGAGGGCAGAAATGAAGAACAGTGGCATTCTCCTAGTGTCATACCCACTTAGAATGAGCAAAATGGTTTATAAAGTCACTTTCTTCCATTGCTTTCTTTCATATATTCATGTTATCTATTACCCCTTTGTGGCTGTCTGTATGCTGTACTTCTACTCTTAGTGATAATTGTATGAAAAATATTATTTACTCAAGAAAACCCTAATAACTGATTATCTATAAAATAAGTATTTTTTGGAACCAGAGGCTCTCTAACAATGGTATGAAGAAATTCCAAAATGCTTATAGAAAGCAAAATTGTTCAGAAATAGAATGACTTGAAAGCCACAAGCAAAATACTGCTACTCATAATGACGTGATATGTTAACTACAGATCATGACTCCGGAATTGCTCAAGAGCACAGTAGTCCCCCTTATTTCGCTTCTTGCACTTTCAGTTACTCGTGGTCAACCGAAGTCCAAAAATATTCAATGGAAAATTCCAGAAATAAACACTTCATAAGCTTTATATTGCACGCCATTCTGAGTAAAGTGATGAAATCTCGTGCTGTCCCCTGTCCCTTTTTCCAGCACATCCACACTGTATCGCTCCCCACCCGCCAGTCACTTAGCAGCCATCTGTTATCAGATTGACTATCGACATGACTGTGTTGTGTTCAGGTAACTCTTATTTTACTTAATAATGAATCCAAAGTTCAAGAGTAATGATGCTGGAAAATCAGATATGCCAAAGAGAAGCTGTAAAGTGCATCTTTCAGTGAAAATGTGAAGGTTCTCAATAAGCAAGGAAAGAAATAAATCATATGCTGAGGTTGCTAAGATCTATGGTAAGAACAAATCTATTTGTGAAATTGTGAACAGTATATTGTTATAATTGTTCTATTTTATTATTAGTTGTTGTTAATCTCTTACTGTGCCTAATTTATAAATTAAATTGTATTATAGATATATACGTACAGGAAAAAACACAGGGTATATAAGGTTTGGTGCTATCCGCGGTTTCAGGCATCCACTGGGGGTCTTCTCAGGATAAAGAAAGATGACTGAATGAAATACCCAAAAGTTAGGACAAAGGAGAAATGGCAACAACTCTTAGGCAAGGAAGAACTTAAGTAATGAAAAGGTGACATTTTCCAATTTCAATTAAATGGCTTTACTAGATTCAAAGGCAGTTTAAAAGGGCTTGGACAGAATTAAAGCATTACTATGAAAGGTCACAGATAGATAATTGATTTGAGTTTGTAATATAAGGTCACTGGATAAGAGCCACATTATTTAGGATCTCCATGGAGAAGAATGTGAGAAAGGCTAGTCCCTTCAACTGACTTTAGTGGGTTCATCAGGAATATTTTACTGTTGAAAGTGTCCTTAGATTAAGTGAAAAAATATTCTCCTTTAAAGATGAATATGAAAGGGAAGAGTTTTATTTTAAAAAACGAAAAGAAGATTCACAAATACAGATACGTAATATACCTTCAAAGAAATCTTGTGAACATCAGGGAAAATATAAATGTCTACATAAAAAGAAACCATTTAAGAAGAGAGGACTTGATTAATAACATAAATGAAAAATATAGGTAATAGATGGTTCTTAAATACACTTGGTAAATGCACTGCCCTGAATTAGAACAACGCACTCAGTTCAGAACCATAGGTATTGGGGGAAAATGTCCTGTCAGAAAAATACATGTAGTTACCAAACTGGGTGCTATTTTTGACCTAAAAGCTACACATGTAGGTGTGTTAACAATAGAAAAGAAAGTAATAATTGGTAGTTGCAGGGGGAAAACTCAAAGGGAAGAATAATTAAAGTGAATATCGGAGCAATCTTCTCAAGAGTATGACTTTCAGATTACTCCATAGATTTAAAGGGAATTAGTCAAAATCATGTGACTCATCTGTGAATACTAACATGAACATAAAATACCACAGAAAATTCTGAACCAATAATTAAATAAAGAAGATGACCATTTGAGTCATTTTCATTTCTAGTTTCCTTGATCATGTGGCTCATGGTAAAAAAAAAAAATAAAGGTCTCAAATATACTTGGTAGAAGGAAAATTAATACCGTTTATGAATCTTATAATTTTAGAATTTTACTTGATTGCATATCCCAGAAAACTGCTTCTTCTGGGCTGTTTCCTTGAAGAAAAACAAACATATTTACCTTTATTTGATTCTTTCCTTTTGGTTTCTTTTGGAATATAATTCCATTCTTTTGGGATGCTCGCAAGCAAATGATCAGGAACACTATGCTTGTTTAGTTCTGTTTCACGGTTTCTCCCAGAGCTCATCACAGATATTATCTGCTGTACAATGTCCTTGACGGCATCCATCAGTGCTAATCTCAAGCATCGGATGAACTCCTGCTCAGACTCCATGCAGGTTGAGACTTTAAAATCAAATAGCATATGATAGTTAGCAGAATCTGACAATCAGTTGTGCCTTGTTCAACTGAGAATTCAGTTTCACAATAATCTTGTTTAAAACTATAGGAAAGGACAGCTGTTTTTAACTGAAAAACCATATAGTTGCTAAGTGTCCCATAAAACCTTTGGGAAAAAAATTTCTTCTTCTTGGTAATAAAAGGAATGGCAATTACATTAACAGTAAATAACAATATTTACTAGTAGTTTTGCACTCTGCTGGCAGGAATATAAATTGTATGATCTTCTTAGATAACTTAGCAATAACATCAAAACTAGAAACATAAAAATCAGATTGAATCATGTAATTTAAAGAACACATGCATCATTATCTAATTCATTTTCTAATGTTTCAAATTGATGTTAAAAATATGGAAAGTTTACTTTTTTAATCTAGGAGGGATTCTCATCTATAAAATGGTGATGGCAGAGGGCAAGAAAGGCTGGACAGGATGACATTTATGGTCTTTCTTAGTGTTCACCTTCCATGACTCTATTTAAGGTTCTTAAGAAGAAAATAACAAATATTTCACAGCCAAGTACATACAAAATCAATAAGGGCTGTTATTCTACTACTTTCTTTTGCAACACAGTCATCAGAAGCCCTTAGAAAGAGGCTGAATGATTGCTGTAAGTCAAGAATTAGCTGTAGGTCTCCAGCAGCAATGCTAAGAATGATATAAGCCAGTTTATGTAAAGTGTATCTTAGTTAAGATATTAACAGTTTATCAATTTTTATCAGTATATTTTAAAATTTGTTAATAACATGTGGCAGAACTTACAAAAAGAAACTTCATTACTTTTTAAATTTCTATAATTTAAAAGAATCAGAACAAAGGTAATTCAGTGGGAGTTTTCAGGCTACCTTTAAGAAAGATGTTATCGGCAATAAAGAATAATCTCTTTTGGCTTTACACAAACAATGGAAATTACATCTGAAGGTGTTTCTAAGTAAAAAGTGTAGGTTTACATGGTTATCCTGTTAATATATTGACTAACTAGGAGCCATTAGAAATAAGGTTTCCTGGTAGATTATAAATAACCGGGAAGTCAAAAGTAAGAAAGCATCCTTGAAAATCCCCTGAAAACACAGTACCATACATTTTTGCCTTAGAAATTTAATGTTTCTTTGATGCTTCAAAACTTTAAATTATAGAAATAAAAAAAATTAAATATGGACAGGATCTGATCTAATTTTCTCATTTTTTAGATAAGGAGACTGATGTAGCAAGGCAAGCATGCATTTCTCTTGACGAATTCAATCAGTGTTATGCATAGGGGTAGACTATGGATACCTTGGTGCTCCCACAATCTTCAAGTACATCCCATCCACAGCCACTCCGAGTAAACATGCAATCCAAGTTAACAGCCAAGCTTCCTCCTGTACCTTTTCTACCTTTACAGCCGTATTTAAACCCTCCTGTATAAAAATGCTGGAGATACAACTGAGACCAATCCAATCCTCCTTCTGCAATTGGTCTGCAATGCCCTAGAATTAGAGGAAACTTTGCATACAGGATTGTTCATAATCTATTGGTAATATTTGAATGACCCAAGTGCCCAATATTTCTGGCTTTAGATCTAAACTTAAAATTCCAGAATTAGAAAGGCATTAATTTTAATGAAGGCAATGCTCTTCTCAGGCATGCTATAAAAATAGCTAAGTATGGAGAAGTACTCCCAGAGAGGGCCTCTGAAAATCTGCTACTCCATAAAAGCAATGGGAACACTGGCAATGATTTTGAAAATAAACTTTTTCAGCACTCTAGAAATTAACCAAAGGCTTGCAACAATCCGAGGAGTATTTATTCAAGAAAATCAGCAGAGTCTTGGTAAGAACTGTCAACTTTGTGAACTTTTGATCTGCACTATTCCTATCTCCCCATCCCTAACATCAAATTTCAGATAAAGGCAGTGAAGTAATTCAATTGGGAAAGAATAGTATTTTCTAAAAATGGACCTGGAAAAATTGTATATCCATATGGGAAAATATGAACCTCAACACTTAACTCACACTATACACAAAAACAAAATTGAAATCCGTCATAGAACTAAACATAAAAACTAAAACTATAGAATTTCCAAAAGAAAACATAGAAGAGCTATTGGCAAACTTAACTAGGTAAGCAAATCGTTATTCAGAAAAAAAAAGCACTAATACCATTTTTTAAAAAAAAACACCTGGTAAGTTGGACTTATCAAATTATAAATTTTTCCCCATCAAAAGACCTTGATAAGGAAATGAAAAAGTAAGCCATAGATTGGGAGGAAATTTCATCAATACATGTATCTGACAAAGAACTTACATCCAGAATATGTAGAGAACTCCTTACAACTCAGTAAGACAAACACCCCAGCTAATAAATGGACAGAGTTTTGAACAGACATTTTACAAAAGAATATTTTCCAATGGTTGTTAAGAACATGAAGAGGTGTCTGATGTCACTAATCATGAAGGAAATGTAAATTAAAACTACAAGAGACAGCACTCCAGACCCCTTAGAATGACCAAAATCAAAAGACAATTCCAAGTGTGGCCAGGATGTGGAGCAAACAAAATTCTCATACACTATTGGCAGGAAAGTAAAAGGGTATGACTACTTTGTAAAACAGTTTAGTAGTTTCTTATGAATTTAAACATATACTTGCACCTGTCACATGACCCAGCATTTTCAGTACTAAGTAGTTACCAAAAGGAAATAAAAATGTATTCACACAAAGACTTGTATGCTAGTGTTCATAGCAGCTTTATTCATTATAGCCAAAAACTAGAAATAATACAAATGTTCATCCAACTGGTGAGTAGATAAAAAATAATACTCAGTGAATACTTCTCAGTGAGAAGAAATGAAGTATTGATAAAGCATAATGTAAAATTCTCAAAAACATTAAGCTGAGCAAAAGAAGCCAGACACAAAAGAATACATAGATTTCCATTTATATAAGATTCTAGAATAGTCAAAAGTAGCCTATCATGGTAAAAAGCATATCAGTGTCTTCCTGGTGCTGAGAGTTGGAGGGAGAATTGACTGGAGGGATGAAAGAATCTTTGGAGATCATGGAAATGTTCTAGAACTTTATTTTGGTGGTCGCCACATAGGTTTATACATTTGTCAAACTTATTGAACTCTTCACGTGAAATGCGTGAATTTTATTGTATGTAAATTATACCTCAATAAAGTATTATTAAAAAGTTTGTTTTAAGTGGATTACAAACAGAGAGACTAGATGGATGGACAAATAAAAGGCTCAGAACAAATGGCTACAAGGTCAAACAAAGGCAGTCTTCCAATTTTTGAAAGCTTACGTTTAAGTGTATTCACACTATGCTGCAGGTATTTATGTAGGAAATAGAGAAAATCACTATGCTGATATGAAGATAAACTACTGTAATTTTAGCAACATGAAAACAGTACAGCAAATGTATGCACTCTAAAAAGCAATTCTTAAAGGTAACAAATGGCTACAAGGTCAAACAAAGGCAGTCTTCCAATTTTTGAAAGCTTACGTTTAAGTCTATTCACACTATGCTGCAGGTATTTATGTAGGAAATAGAGAAAATCACTATGCTGATATGAAGATAAACTACTGTAATGTTAGCAACATGAAAACAGTACAGCAAATGTATGCACTCTAAAAAGCAATTCTTAAAGGCCTTTATGAGGCTGGGAAGGATAAGTGAAGAACCAAAGTGGAAACTCTGGATCTCAAAGTTTAGTTGGGAAATTTTGCGAAGTCATGGAAAGCTTTCTTCCCAAAGGCTGTGAGAGAGTTAAGAAAACTGACTCTGAAAACAAAAGTAAGGCCAATGCCATGTTGAGGAACCAAATGAATAATACTTGTTGGGTATATTACTATAACATTAAACAGGGCATTTTTGACAGTATTTTCCTCATTTACAAGCCTGTTTTGTCAGTGTCTTAAAAACCAGCTGAGGTGAGGTATACTTTGGTATTTTCATTTACCTGCATGAAGATTGCTTGATCTGCTTTGAGGACAGAGGTCTGCAATGATTGCTACCTAGTCTATTTCTTAGAGAGTGCATTGGGCTTTGAAATGCCCACATTAGGTCCCTAACTTAATTTTTTTTTCTGGATTTCTGTCTTTTGTAACCTTTTTAAGTGGGTATTTTCATTTTTGTTTTCCCTCCCTAGCTTAAGTTCATTCTAAGGTGTTATGTGTTGGGTTTCTAATTATGAAATCAGACTGTCTACTTCAGTTCTGAATTTGTGTGTTTATAAAGCAAGTATCTCGAATAATTTAGTTTAACAGAAAAAAATAAAGAGAAATAACATGGCCTATGAGTCAGTAGATCTGGTTTCTTGTTCTGATTCTCTCCAGCTTAACCAATGGACAAACTTCTTTGACCTGGGTTTCTTCAGCAATAAGGTGAGAATATTGGTTACTTTATCTTTGCCTTTCCACCCTAAAATAAAAAGACGACTGTGATGTTTTATGGGTAAGCTATGCTGAAATCATTGACAGTGTTTCAGCAGGAGAAAAATATACCAGTGAAGTTTTTAAATAATGTAATCCAGTTGATCTATGTAGGTTAATTATATTTACTGAAGCATAGATCTGTTAGTGGTAAAATGCAAATATTGTGGGATGATGATTATGTGTTTCAGCTATATTTCCTTTAAACGTGTTATATTTTCAAGTTAAACAGACGTCATAGTAAAAGGCTTACTTTGTTATAAACTAGCAGATTGTATCATCTTATTAGGTTTTTTTTTAAATAACCGAGATGGGTAACAGAAGAAAAGGAAAACTTTGGCAGAAGATTCAAATGGGAGAGAAAAGACAAAGTTATAGTCCCTCGTGACCACTGCAGGGCTCAGGTTCCAGAGAATATTCAAAATTCAGAGACTATGCTAATGTTTATGGAGAAACAACTTGTACAAAGGCCACGGATGTTTGACCAATTTGAAGTTCTTTCCCTTTGAGCCTCTGCACACAATTTCGGCGCTATGAATATGAGGATACTTCAAAAAGTTCATGAAAAGATTCGTATTATCTTTCAGTTCTACTTTCCCACAAACTTTTTGAAGTACTCTTGTGTGTGTGACACCTGTTTCCAGAGACTCGTCTGACCTTGTGGAACAGGCTTTGCTCAATGTGCAGATGTATTATCTTTCAGTTCTACTTTCCCACAAACTTTTTGAAGTACTCTTGTGTGTGTGACACCTTTTTCCAGAGACTCGTCTGACCTTGTGGAACAGGCTTTGCTCAATGTGCAGATGAAAAAAAAGACAAATTAGGAGCAAGGAACAGTTTTGCTTTCTCTTGCCAGCCCCTGAAGTCCATTGATGTCTTCTAAGTCATTTTCACTACAGTTTTGTGCTGAGTGTCAAAAGTGGCTCAAAAACTTAATTGAAGGATATATAGTGGTTGAAGCATGAAGGTCACTGATTCCTTAACATTTTGTGAGAGAATCCAGATCTTACTTCCCCAGAAACAACTAAAAACAGCAGAAGGTGGCTGGGCTCCCACAGTTGTTTTTCTTTCAATTCAATACAGACTGTATCAGAAGCACGACAAATTTCTTATTCAAACTTTTTACCTAGAAATCTCTCCCCTCTCCTTTGAGTAAACAGGAAGCAGTGAGGGAATGCATGGAAACTAGGAGATAAAACTTTAAAAGAAGATAATTATTACAGAATCTTTAAGTGATAGATTTAGATTTTAAAAACCATTACATAAAGTTATCTATTGCTATTTTGCAGGGATAATGACCAAGAGAAGATGAAACGTAATGACTTTAAAATAGCTAAAACGATACTCAAGTAATATCTGGAGCATAGTCAAGAAGTCCAGGAGGAATGAAACCATGATTATGAGCTAGTTAGATCTTTCATATGAAGCTTTGGAAATATTTTATGAAAACACTGGTTCCAAAGCAGTATGTAAGAAAGCTTATAAGTTGAAAGCCAAATGCAAAAGATATAAATGACTAATGGAATAACAGGATAATGATAATAATCATTGTCTAGGTTCTTTTCCTGTTCAGATATGTGAACATATTTGCTGTGTCTTTAACATCCTCTCTAGCCAAAGGCAGAACAACACAGATGGGGAAAACATATTGTCCCAAAAGGAATCATAGGAACGCTTGCCTTGTAGAGACGCACTACGGTCATAATAATAGATGTCTTATATATTTAAAGAAAATTGACCAATAGTTTTGTCCATCAGTTCGTTGAATAAATGCACCCAAGAATCACAAAATAGTTTTCATATCTTACTAATGCTTTGTATGCTTAATCACAAAACATAATCTGTGGTAAATACTGAATTAAATTTTTATGATACTTTCTTATAATTTTTTTAAAAAAGAAAACATGCTTTACATAATTTTTTCCCTCATCCTCCCCTTCACTTTGTCCCAAAGTATATTATTTGATAGGAACTAAAGGTTAATGGTTCCCCACAGAAGACTTTATACTAAAAAAAATATAAAGTAAACTTTTACAAACCATAGATTCAGCAAAACTGATATCAATAATAGTTCTAAAACATCTTTAAGGCATACTTAAGTATCTATAACACACTTCTTTTACAAATAGTAAATTTCTCATACCTGGAATGTTACCTAAAAAGTCCCATAATTGTTCTTCTTCCATGTAGGTCACAAAAACATTTCCAAATGTTTGTGGAGAAAGATTGCAGTGGTACAGTACTTTAAAGATAGCTTCCATCAAGCTGGGTCCTTGGTTCAGATAATTTTCTGTATCAGAAACTTGTTCTTGAATGATATGTTCTTGAAGAGAATAAAAGCGATTTAGTAAGGTAGGAATCAGTGAATGTGATTCAGTGGTTCAGCTAACCCAAAACTGTTTCTGAGATACCCATGGATATTTATGGGGGAAAAAACAACCTGTGAGAAGGACCACCTGACATCACTTCAAAAGGCAATGCTAGTTTCCCTGTATGTCAGAATCATTTCTCTTAAGGAAAACTTATTTTGTTTCTTTTTCTCATTTAAAAATAATACACATTCATTCTATAAATTATATTAAAAAAATCCAGACATTTAAGGTAACTAAAATTATACCACGGGAAAACTCACATTTATAGTATTAACAAAATTAAATGATATAAATTCTACAAATAAATGTATGAATGTGTCTCAAACCCATAGACCCTGTCATTTCAGAATGAAGAGGTTTATCAGTTGGTTCCTCAATAAAACTACATAAAGAATTCTACAAAAATAAGGCCATTTTAATTGCCCCTTTTAACACTCCTCTGGCTCCGTTATGGCTTCCTAAAAGATCAGTAAGCAGAAGTTCCTGTGCTAATGCACAGAAATATAGAAAGGTGAAATAAGATTTCCTCTTTCATTTGGATGATTAGCGTGAGATGTCCACTATGATAGCAAGCAAAAATAGTTTTGAATTAAAGATAATAGCTCTTACACCTTGTCTCCTCTATTTGAATTATTTTGGGAAAATGTGATCTAGAGTATTTCAGAATGAGTGCATTTCTTTATTCTTGCTCACTTGGAAGCTCATTAATTTTATGTTTCTTCTTGATAATTTTATTTCTGTGATTTGATTTTCATGATCTAGAGGATCTCACTGTTATCCACAGACTAAGAAATAGGATCAAAGACTTTATGCAAAGAACATTTATTGGGTTTGCTTTCTAATATTGTTTCTTTCTTTTTAAAACAAGTTAGTTTTCCTTTAGCAAGCTATCCCTGCCCCTATCCACCTCCACCATCCACCCCCAGATACATACACTTAATTTATTTGGTTCGGGTGAAGCTGACTCCATCATCTGAGGTGGGCACATGACCAAGGCCTGGCCAATCAGAGCATGATGCCTCCCACTGACAGTGATTAGTTCAGGGATGGGCAGGTAACCAATGGGAACCTTCCTCAGAATTTTTGCTGGAAGTATTGGTAGAGCAACGTTCTCTTTCTGCTGGGGTTGCTAAGCTGGTAGAAAGTAAGCTGGAAGTTGCTGATGGCCCTTTTGCGGATAACTTGACTAATAGTGAATCTGACACAGTAAAAAGCAGAACCAAGAGACAGAAGATTCCTGATGAGATGACACTGTTTGAAAACCTGAGTCCAGCAATATTTATGTTAGCTAAGCTGATAAATTTCCCTTTTTGATAAACTAGGTTAAACTGGATTTCTGTCACTTGCAGTCTAAAGGGTCTTGACTTTTTCATCAAGTATAAAATGTTAAACGGCAAGTATTCCTAATTTAAACATTCACAATTTCATCTTTTTTTATCCAAATAAAGTTCTCTCTGCCTTGCCCTCCCTCCAATTCATCTTATATATAATTTTAAGTTATCCTTCATGTAAGTATAAAATGTTAAACGGCAAGTATTCCTAATTTAAACATTCACAATTTCATCTTTTTTTTATCCAAATAACGTTCTCTCTGCCTTGCCCTCCCTCCAATTCATCTTATATATAATTTTAAGTTATCCTTCATGTCATCCCCCAGGTTTAAACCTTTCCCTGTTCCTCCACTTTGTTAAACATTTCTTAGCTTGGTGATCAACAGTTTCCACAATCTTTTCCCAAATTACATACCAATCCCCAAACATATGTCCCACCCATAAGGGTCTATTTGCTGTTCCTTGTAAATGTGTTCTTCCATCTCCTTTTCCTTTTCTATACCAATTCATCAGTCTAGAATGTTACCCTCCAATACAATTCCTATGATTTAAGCAATCAATTAATTAACCGACTGCTTACTACGTGTCAGCCATTGTACCAGATGCTGAGGCCTTCGCCTTCCAGGGGTTCACTGACAGTGTCCATACGTCCACATGGGGGAGGGGATGATAGGCAAGTAAACAATCATTACAGCAATGTAAGGATGAGGAGGGTGACCACGCATCCTGGTTTGCCCAGGGCAGTCTTGGTATAAGGCACTGTGGAAATACAGAGGATGATACTTTAAATTTTGGGGGGAAACACAGAGAAGAAATCACAGAGAAGACCATGCCTTGGCTAAGTCTTTAAGGAGGAGTAGAAGTCTGTCAGCATGACAAGGTTGAGATGGGGAATTCGTTGCAGGGTTAGTGTAGTGTAAAGAGTTAGTGTAGTGGTGAGAAGACTGGTAGCTGCTGGTGGCATGGCGTGGCTGAAATGAGGCTGCTGTGAGCACATGAGACATGAGAGGCGGAGCACGACTAATCTAAGGCCCTGTGAACGGTGCAGTGGCAGCGCAGTGGGGGAAGGGGGTGGATACGAGGAACAGTTATAATAAAAATAGCAAGTATTATTATCATTTCTACTACTATATGCAATATTCCAAGATAATTTCTACTTTGAACCTCACTCAGGATCTAATAAGGCCTGATGAAGAGTGACCCTTAGCAGATTCCAAATGTTTCTAACTCTGTGTCCTAGAGAGCTGGGGAACACCAATACTTTTGCCAGGTATGAGTATTCACAAACATTGTTTTTCCTTAGCTTTTGAATTGCTTATGCTATTGCTATATTCTTCTTGTGCCCACTTTCATTCTGATATTCCCCTATTCCTTTCAAGAAGACAGCCATAGTTTTATTATTTTAACCTGCTTTTTTAAGTTAGTCCTGCTGGGGTTTAGCACACACTACCCCAAAATACGGCATCTTGGCATTTGAGAAAACAGCAGAAGCAGGGAAGTTTCTCTGACCTTCTTTCATCCTTTTCCCCTGGAGCAGGTCATAAAGAAATTCTCTGACTTTTCTCTAAAGTAGGTCATAAAACCCTCTTTCCAGAGGTGCCCTCCTTATACCCAAAGGAAAAGGATGTCCGGTTGTCCAGCCCTTGCTCTTGGGCCAGACTTCCCTGTTTCAAGTTTGGTTCTGCTTCCTCGGGCGGGCTACTTTCCCTGTGCCCCAGTCTCTGCCTATCCAATAGGGGTGATCGCAGGTTTGCAGGTTTGTTTTGAGGATATCTTGAGTGAGTGGCTGGTGTATGAAAAGCACATAGATATGATGGGATTCAGGATGTGCTGCCCCAAATGTGCCACTGTGGCATCTGAGAAAACTGTAGGAGCAGGAGGCTCACCGTCTGACCTTCTCGCCCTTCTCCTCTGAAGCAGGCCATGAAAGAAGTCTCTGGCCTTCCTCTAAAGTAGGTCAAAGACCCTCATTCACGAGGCCCCTCCCTACACCCTTGTCTACAAAGACACAGGGACACAGAGAAGAATCTCAACAACAGGCCTTGCTAAGTGCCCCCGGTTTGTCAGCATTACATGGTGTCCCTTTTGTCCAGTTACATTTCTCCACAGCTGTCCACTTCTTCTTCCAAGTTAATATAAAAATACACGGGTTTCCCTGTTTCTTTGGGTCTTCATTTCAGAGACTCCCATGTTATATAAAACTTATACTAAATAAATTTGTATGCTTTTCTCTTGTTAATCTTTTATTACAGGTGCCTCAGTCATGGACCTTGCAATTGAGTGAGAAAAGATAGTATTTCTTTCTCCCCTATAGTCCCGTCTCCTCTGAATGTAGGTTCTAACCCTTTCCTTTCTCTTTCCCTTGGCTTTCTGGATCAGACATTTATTTTCCTAATATAAGATCTTCTAGGTGTGTGTTTATGGGGTCTTCAGTAGCGAAAGAGATAAAAATCAATGAGTTCTAGATCTGCCTAAAGCATTCAAATGTCATCAGTTTGCCTCCCTCAGTCAATAATCTCACCCAAGAGGTATTTTCCTGTTAGACCAACATCTAACCCAGGCCTGAGCTCTCTTATTGTCCTCCTCATTAGTATAGTCACAGTCCTAGTCTCTCCCCACTCTTCCTTCTCCCTGCACTAAAGGAGAAGTGATTCGTCTGAGTGGTGAGTTTGGGGAGAGCCACTAGACGTGGTTGGCTTAGCCCAGTAATCTTTTTTCCTTTTGGGGTCTGCCTGACCACAAGGGGTTGCATTCTGGCCCGATCTCCCCTCTATTAGGGCAGACTCTGCCACTGCAAGGGAGTCCTGTGGTTTTCAGCTCAGCTGATGGTTTGGGAGTGGGAAATGGGAAACTGGGAAACTGGGGGGATTGAGAGGATTGGGGGGAATCAGCTTAATTCTGGAGAGCAGTGTTGGCAAGCCACATATTTATAGCCATATTTTCTGACTGAGATTTTACCAGTAATAATAGCAGTAGTAAAGCTGCTACATTGAATTTCATCTTCCTTTTCCTTTATTGAATGTTTTATATAGTATATAAACAATGTAAGATTGGAAAACAGATTATCTTCGTAGTAACACTGAAGGGCACTTTTCATTGTAGACATTATTTTAAACTCCTTTTGATCATTTGAACTTGCTAGTGCTTCTAAAGAAGAGTGGTGTCAGGCAAAGAATGCAACCACAACCCACCAGGAGACTGTACTCATTGCTACCAAAGATTTACACGTACATGGTGTACTATCAGTTTGCTTTCCAAGACTGCTTAATTTTTACTTTCTACAAGAATGTTGATAATGACAAGCTCCTGCTGATTCACTAAAATGGATTTGGCAGCAATGTTGTGGAAGAGTGTGCCATAAGCTCAGGCATGCTGAACTAACCAGGCACTAATGAGCACTCCTAACCAAAGGGAAGAGGCTGAGAGACTCATTTTCAACAGAGGTATTAGATAGAAAGTGCAAAAATAGAAAATACAGCATTTAAAACAAGGACTCAAAACCCCAAACACCCGGTCAATAAATTAATACCCTAAAAAAAGAGAGGTAGAGTATCACATGAAAATTATTTTAAGAAAACACTAAATTTGAATGTCACAGCCTCGTTCACTATAAAAATTAA